CAAGGAATACAAGGGTGAAACTAGTTGCTTACTAAAAGTAAAACTGGAGGAACATTGAAAGGCTCTTACCTAGGGAGAGACATTAAAATCAAGAACGACTGATCATGGGTGGATGGAAAAAGTTTTGGCATATATTTTACTTCATTGAAATATATTTTGCAAAATAGATTTAGTTTAATAAAAGTCTTGAAAATAAGTTTTACTGATTAGGATAACCGTGGATAAGTGAAACCTAGTTTTCAATTCTGAGGATGGTGTGATCCTACTTCATATTAAACACATACACACATACAAGAGAGAGAGCGCTGAAATGTTCTTTGATCCACTTTCTAAAATATGTCCAAGTGGCTAATCAGAAGTATTTGTAAGTCTCCTCATAGTTGGACCCCCCAAAAACTAGCTATTCAACACCTGTGTGTGTGTGTGAGTGAGTGAGAGAACATTACACACACAGACACACAAAAGGAGATTTTTTTAAAGTCTTTGTATTTACAGTACTCAATATAGAGGGATAGACTACTACTACTGATAATAATAGTTCATTATTTTGTAATTACAAAGGCTGGTTTCATAATATTATATAATATATATATATATATATATATATATATATATATATATATATATATATATCTATACTAGGGAATTACTCCTATCCAAAATATAGAAGAAGAAACCCAGAAGATGGAGGTCACATCAGCAAGATCATTGAGTAATATTGAAATGCATCATTTTTCTCCAAAAATTATAACAATGATCTAAAATCAATCATCATTTTCTTACAAAAGAAATGTGTGACATGCAGCAAGGTGCAGGTAATTCAGCTGGAAGATGATTTAAATGAAAGGGAAAAAAAAATTTTAGTGTGGTGTTTGTGCAAAAACAGCTTCATCTGACCCCTTTGATATGCAATACTTGATTGAATGAATTGATGAGCAGATTTCAACATTGATATGACAGTTGAATTGTCACAACAAATATGTATTGTAAGGCACTACTCAAGTTCTTGCTCAACTTGACATCCATATTACCTCATTTTGATCTTGCCAATGTGACCTCCATCTTCTGACTTTCTCCGTCTATATTTTGGATAGGAGTTATTCCCTTGTTTAAATTAAATTTAATTTAAATCAAAGGGAAAAATTTTCAGGGGAAGGGGGTTATGCCCTCCAAGGACACCCTTTGATCAAAATGAAATATCCTTATCCAAGTACCCTGGGTAATTTAGTTTCAGTATATATATGATTATGGGAGTCTATTCCCAAAACACAAAGAAGAGTTTGATAACAAACAGAGGCTTCAACTGTTGGAAGTGTGCTCTATTTGTTCTCAATGTACCTGGATAATATATATATATATATATATATATATATATATATATACGTGCATGCACACACACACACAAGGTGCATCAAAAGAATTTGCCAACATATCTTTTATATGAATTTCTGTTCTTGTTTTGACATGAGGAACCCACTCCCAAACTTTGCAAAAACTTTTTTGATACACCACAAACTATATATTACACACACAAAAATACATTGCATTTTTTGTATGTGGATGTATATATTATAGCATATACATGTATAAAAGAAAAAAGAAAATATCTTTATATAATCAATGTTCTATGAAAGAAAAGTCAACAATATTTTAATGCTTATTCACATTCTACTTTCTTGATTAAACATTGAATATCTTACAATCATATTTTTAAATTATCTTTTAGATGTTAACTTTGTAGGCTTGGCTCAAATAGTAAATAATCTATAAATGTTTAAATTATCAATCATAGAATAGTTGTTCTTTATATTCATGTAGGAATATTTCCAAGATAGTTGAAAACAAGTAAGCATTTTTACCACAGGAGCCATGACTTAAGCCTTTCATACATACATCCTATAGTAATATAAGCAGTGTAATTGTACACAGAATAATAGGTAAAGAAACACATTATTTTACAAGATATATACATTTATTTTTCTATAATGAAAGACATGAGAATCATCAAAAGAGATAGACAAAATACATAAGATTTCAACATCTGACAGACACTTCTCATGAGTGTAGAAGTTGCTTACTCGTTTTGAGGACAACAACTTTTGCTGTTGCTCTATATGATTGGGATTATAATCAACCACAATAATAACCTGTAAATATAGCATAGAATAAAGTCAAGTGAGTTTAACTGTTGCCTAACAAGAGACTCAGTGGAAATGAATGGAGAAGAGATGGTAGCAATTTCCAACCACTAAACTTGAGGGACAGTATAAAACTGTAATCACAGTATCAAGCAGCTTAATTCATGCCAGCCCAATCTCTTTTCGGGCTCTTTACATCCTGACCTGTCTCTCCACCCCAGTGGATCTTTACTCAGATATATTTCAGAAGAAACATTGATTTTCAATTATTATGCCAACTACCTTGCGTATTTATAGACTTCTTGCATAATATTAAGCCAATAACAGATATTTAAAAATTGTATACATATGATTGTTACATAAAACATACATTTGTGTTTCAAGTATAAAAAAGTGTAAAAGAAATGAGTCATAGTTTAAAAAAAGAAAGTATCAAGATAAGAATAATGTCAAATTGTAGTACATACAAGAAACACTCATGCAGATGCCTTTTATAATTTGGTTTAGCACAGATTTTATTTATGAAACCTAAAGTTTGTTTTTTTTTTTTATAATTATGTACAAAACCAAAACTTTAAAAATTATTAAACTAAATAAATATTTTTTCGACATTGCAAAAAGGAAAACCCCCAAAAATGAAGTACTTAATTTTAGTTGTAGAAACAATCCCTTTGCTATATCCCCCACCACCCATTACTGTTACTCATTATGAAGAAAGATTACTTGCTTCCAATTTAGGTAAGTACTTAATTTCCTTATCCCAATGTTGACACTTATTGAATAATTTCTATGAATCTAAAGTCTTCAGGACATTGACAAAACTCAAAAAGAAAAAAGTAAATGTTTGAAATGATTTTAGTTGAAAATGAGCTATTGCTCTTCTAAATGATTTCAGCCAAAGAATCCTGTTATACAGTAATAATAGATAAGGCAGAGTATGTGATGTCATTATTGGAGAACCTAGTAAGGGACAAATTCACTTTATAACTAGAATGCCTATCATGATATTTCAAATAAACATTCAAATCAGTTTTGAACAAGGAAAAAATTATTAAGTGGTTTGTTTTTTATGATTTATTAACCTTTTGTAGGTTATTTAAATTATTTTTAAATTTAATATATTTTGGGATTGTAAGAATAATTCTATTATATTAATCTTTTGAAAATAATGATTTTTCTACTATTTAACCCATGGCTAAGGGAGAAGGTTATTTGTTTATAAGTGAATGTAATGAACTCAAATGGAATTTGAACTCAGCTTTCTAATTTCTCATTCCAGATCATTATCCATTACAACATCCAAACTTATAGCACTTTGTATTCCCAAATAGTCAGTCGGGCTCAACATTGCTTAACTTTGGTGCTCATACAAGAAACAGTGTTTCAACATGATATAGCAGCAAGCTAGGAAAAAATAAATTTTCAGTTAAAAATAAATATTTTATGATTAGATACTTGGTTCATATTATATAGCATGGTTAAAATTTGAATTATTCCATTTGTAACAATTGAAATGTATACACTTACGTTTTCTTGAACATATACAAGCAAAATATTTAACTAGAACAAGTTTTAAATATCAACACCCTTTGTAGGATTGGCAACTAATTCTATATTGAACTAAACAAAAAAATTTACTAAATTTTGTTGGAATACATATGAAATAATAGTCTGTAAAAACATTAAATTTTAGTAGACTCAAAGAATTTAAAATGACATCAGAAACATTTCTTGGGGTAAGTTCACAAAAAGGCACTTAAAAAAATATGAAAGAATGATTACATTGGAGATAAAGGAAAGCACAATTATTTTCCAAATCAAAGACATTCTTAAATCAGAAATTACATAGCAAGTTTTAACTTTGCCAAAAAGTCTATACTGTACTTGGTGCCTATGGATTAGTCCAAAACATGATTTGGTACTATTGCAATCTAAATTTCTGAATCAAAAACATTATTAAAGATTTTTTAAATATAAATGTACATTTGACACTGTTTATTACTTGCTGTTAGGCTTAAACAAACCAGTAAATTGAAGGAATGACTAACAGGAAAACATTGATACGTAACAAAATCCAAACAAACTTGAACAAAATACAAAGTGGCTGACTCCAAATATAACAGTAGTAATGAAAAAAATGGTGTTATAATTTTTCGAAAAACTTAATAGTTTTGAATGTTTTTCTATTATTAATTAATCTATTCTGTTTTAAGTGTTTTAGCACTGTAGCAATGACATTCTTGAAAATAATGTCAAAAGTGTTACAAGTAATTTCTAAAAATGAATAATTGTTGAACAATAATAAGTTCTAAACTGCCTCTGTTATGTCTTTGGTTCAAAGGATAACATATTCTCTGTTGCATTATTAGTTATAATAAATATACCCCCCCCCCAGGGTTTTTTTTTTGTGTGGTTGCAAACTACTGAAAAACTATAATGCTGAGAACTACCATCAGCAGCAGTACAAAATACATCACTCTTGACAATTACTAGTATATTCAGTTTAAAGGACAATACTTTTTTTTTACCATGGAAAACATGTTTAAATGACAAGACATATAAGGTTTGTTTTGGTTATTTTTTGTTTAACAGTCTACCAACCTCTATGGGTTATTTAATGCCAAAATCTAAATATTTTGTGTGCAGTTTTTATTTTTATTTTATTTATTTATTGGAGATATTAATGGTTTAGTGATACAAGTCTTACTAATTAATCAATAGCCGGGGGGGGGAGAAGATGTGGATTCATACCTTTCCCAAGAGTATTTATGTGTAAGTGAATGTAACAAAACCCAATTGTAATTGAGTTCTCCGATCAATGATTCCAAGCCATTATCCATTACACCGCCAGCACATCCAAACTTACAGCACCCAGTATTCCCAAACGGTCACCCATATAGGTACTGACCAGTCTCAACATTGCTTAACTTCAGCATTTGTATGGGAACTGGTGCTTCAATATAATGTGGCCTTATGAGTTAAAGTGATTATTTTTAAATGCAGTTATATGAAAAGAGCAATATGTTGCAAATGGATAATAATGCCTTAGTCAATAGTAAATTTCCTAGTATTTATTCACTATAAATCTGAATTTACTGCATATTGTTCAAGGGTTATGTAAGTTTGTTTATAACTCACAAGGTAGTAATGCATTAAAAGAAACATCTAAGCATTAGAAAAAGTGATTAATTTAATTAAAAAATTTCAACTTATAATTACAATTTTTAGAAGAAAATTGTATTTATATGCTTTCTTTTGTATTTCTAACAAATTGTTTTGAAAACTTACATATGCAAGAGGAGAATAAATTAGGAGTTAATGTTGTATATCTTTAAATAAAATAATGAAAAAACTCATGATATTTAATTCATATTAAAATATTAAAAAAAAGTTTGAAGACTCAAAATCAAAATTAGAGAAAGAATACTTTATTTTAAAGAGCTTATTAGATGCCATCCAAAGATTCAGAGAATTGATAGACTGATCAAATGTATTAATTTATCAAGTTGCCAAGTATTCCTTTCTTCCATGTCTTATCAGGCATCTCACATATCTCTGAAAATTTCTCCAATAGAGAACTAGTAAATAAACACTATCATTCCTTAAAAACATGATTAAATATTTATAGGATACATATAAGATCATTTACAAGTGAAAAACTGAAAATACTTCTCTTGGATCTTTAGGTGCTAAGGTGGAATCTTATATACCAGAATAATAGTGGGTAAATCAAATGGATTTTTCATCTTGACAAGCACTTATGCTCCTCACCCACAATATATATATATGTGGACATTGAAGTCAACACCCTACCCAACAGAAACAGTCTGTTTCATGCTTAAACCCAATTGTTAGGCAATGATAATTGTGTTTAAGCATGAAACACTGTCACCACCGGGTGTTGACTTCAATGTCCACTTTTATATTTATCCCAGATATTGAGCACTTTTACTCATAAATATAGAATACCATAAAACTATATTTTTATCATATATATTACACTGTAACATTACAAGATAAAGTTACTCAGTAATTCTAAAACATTAATCTTTGCAGTAGAATTTATCACAAAACAAAATCTTGTTTACGAAAGTTCATTGTACTGAAAGACATTGACTATTGTTCACTACCAACAGCTAAAAAATAAAAGATCCTTTATTAAAAAATGTCCTTATATTTTTAATTGAACATCTTTCTCTCATCTTTCCCATTCATCATTAGTTATGACAAATCTTGCAAGAAACAAGCTTTTTTTTTTAAGAAATAAAATGTAAAAATAGAATCATGTAGGTAGATGAATGAAGTTCTCAATCATACATACTCTTTTAGCAAAGTAGTTTTTCAAAAACACAGGTGACTAGATAGCTATTTTATCGATCAGGAGCAATTAAAATGAAACTCAACAATATCTCTTCAATAAACAAAAGACACACACACACACACACACACACACGATTTTCTTCAGATAATTAAAAAAACAGTTTTTAAAAAGAAAAATATAGGGAAACAAAAATTTAACATTATTCCACTAGATTTAACAACAAATTTTCTTATAATGATGCTTTTTCAATCTTATTCATTTGATAACTACTTAGGATATACAAGATACTTTTCTAGATTAAAACTACAGTTCATCTCTTTAACCAATGTAATAACAGCAATTAGCTAAAGCAATTTTTTTTTTTACAAGTACAGACAGATTGACAGCACCTATTTGAAAATAATTTTCTTGTTAGGTAATTATGTAATGGATTCTCAAATCTCTAGACCTTCATTTTATTGTTTAATATTAACAAAATACATTAAATTATACTAAATGTAGGGTATAGTTAAAATATAAAATGAAAATTATTGTTTAGTATCATAAATATTAATTATTGTTTAGTAAGTATTATATCAAATACCATAATGTATAGTCAAATTAATCTAAATTCAATTTAATCCAAATAAATTTTTACTTCAAATTTGGAAATAAAATCAACTTGTTTTTTCTTTTGCATAATAAAACAAAAATGAGAATGAAAACTGTATGAAAAAACAATGGAACAGTTCAATGCTATGGAAAATCTTTTGCTGAATTGACATGAGGAAGTACACCTGACCATTGTTGATCTGTTTTCATGAAGTTTAATAGATAGTAAAAGCTAACTTTTGCAAAAGATCTGCTTAAAATTAAGAATGATTTTTTAGTTAATACAATTACTGTTTTCTACAGCAAAAAAATAAGTATTAGAAATTAAAAAGTTTTTATAATTATAATTTGGTAAATTTAAAGTTATTTTGAAATTACATTTTTATATTTTAAAAAAATTAAGGGTTATTATTAATTCATTAACACTATTTACATTGTTGCCATATTCACAATGTTTTGGTCATGGTACGATCTATTCTTTTTCAGATAGATTGGAATTTCAAACTGAACCCTTTATTTTGTCTACCTGGGTAGATTGTTCTAGTTCCACATGCCATGTCTTGTATCTCAACTCTTCAAGTTTTTGTTCACCTCAGCTATTGAACTCACAACTCACTGGATTCAACCAAAGCTTTTATCCACTGCCTTTGAGGACATCAGTGTATGAATTTTTAGGACTTATAAACCTTAATGTCTCAGTTTTCATTTTTTAACTGGAACTCATATTGCAATTTTGTTGTTATTATTGTTTTTCCCTAGCACTCCATATTACTTCTTTCCATACTGTATTCATTTCTATGCTTGGCCAGCTTAGGAGATTTTTGTGGCCTAGCAAAGAATTCAGAGTTCAATTCCTGGCTACAGCTGAGGTGAACAAAAACTTGGAGAGTTGAGTTAAAGGGAGATAATGAAGGGTTCAGTTCAACATTCCAATCACCTGAAGAAGGCTGGAGTGTACAATGGCTGAGACATTGTGAATATGGCAACAAAGATGAGCACAACAGTCCAAACAATGTAAGTAGTGTAAATAATTACAATACCTCATCTCATGAAATATAGACAGATACTAATTCATTATTATAACACATATAATATTCCTAATGTGTCAGTAATGTGTACATTAATTCCTGACCACTAAAAATCCTTTATTACAAAATTGTATATTGAGATTTGAAACTTGATCAGATAATTTTTAAGTTATTTCCAAAGTCACTAGAAATATTGTTTGTTAATGCGAAAAATTAACAAAAAAGAAACAAGTCAATGAGCTGTGATAAGAAAAGGCAACAATCTTATCAACAAATGCAGTTAACACTAAATTAACTAATTATGTAATTTTCACCTCCACATACCACTATACATATTTGAAAAATGAAAGTTTTACTTGCTCAACTTTTATTTTATCCTAATTAAAATATCTGTCAGTAATAGCAGTTATTAATTTCTGTAATTCCAGTTGGTTGTAACATAATACTGTTGGGATATTTTTGTCAAAAAACACATTGGATCTAAAGGGTAGTGCTTATTGAAGGTGCAAATGTCAAATGTTTAAGCAGTGCTATCTGGGATATAAAGAGTTACATAAACTAGTTTTTAATTAAAATCTATGTTATTTTAAAATAACTTATGAATGCAATTAAAAACTTGAGTAGATAATGTAATGATGCAGTGACAAAACATAGTGGCATTGGAATTAATGTTTTCAAGTAATCAACTTTCACTAGAATTATGTTTGTATTTTTAAAAAATTTACTCAGGAATAAATTGATCTAAAATCTTTTTAATTTAAAAATATTGGAAATGGAAGTGTACATTAGCAGATTACTTATGCAGTGTCTATTTTAATTAATAATAGATAAAATTAGTCTCTTTGAAAAGTAATGGACATAAACACCATCTAAAATGATGGACTACAACTGAAACCAAAAATATGATATCCAGTTAACAATAGTTGTAGAAAGAACTCAACTAATATGAATACTTTATAGAATATATTTTCAATTACTTATTTAGCAGGAGGAAGCTGATCTGACTCAAAGATTAGGCTTGTTACAAAGGGGCTTAAATTATCAAAAATTGTTATATAAAATTCCAATATAAGCCATTTGTTGATTACATATTAATGACAATACATAATTTTTACAAAATGAATGTTAAAGAACACAAAATTAAAACTGAATTATCATACCTCTCCCGCAATACAAGTAACTGCATTTTTCCCATTTAAATTATGGATTAGCTTCATATTTGAATAAATAAGCTACTAAATATTTGACATGAACATTAGAAATCAATTTTGTTTTTCTTTAAATTAAAAATTAAATAAATCCTGTTTCTAATTAAATAGTAAAAGAATTAAATATTCTTCTCACATATGACTCTAGTAAGAGTTTGTGTTAAATATCACTAACTGTATTTATTGTTAAGTCATTAATGTCATTTTGTTGTCTTTTGGGGCAAAGAGACTGACATCAAGCACTTCAATAGATAGTTTAAGATTGACCACTTCTGCTCATAGTACACTAATAAAACAAAGATAGCAAAATGATTCAAACAACCAATTTATTTAATCCTTGGAAGAGGACTATAGTCACAATGAATGGTTAGTATTGAAATAATAAATTCTTTTAAAATGCTCTTTACAGCATTTTCTCTACGAAGAGAAAAAATTATGAACAGTATAAATTACAATATTTAATTCATTACAGAATTTTAATGAGAATTAAGTTAAAAATCAGCACTGGATTTTTATTCAGAGTAAACTCTCTTAGGCTTCTGCGCCTTGTCACAAATGGACATGAGTGATCATGACTCACCACAACTTTTCACCCTCTACCATCCTTCTTTGTCCTTGTTTAGCCATCTATTCACACAAACTTGTTAAATAAATTACTTGCTGTTTCTCTTGCCTTCAGTATATGCTGTGAGTGTTAAATTTTCCACATCCTTTTTCCTCATGAAGTGTCTCAGAAATTTCAGCTGTCTTTTTCTGATTGTACGTAGAAGTTTCCCTGTAGTTAATAGTTTCCTTAAGACTCCTTTAGTAGC